AAAGCAAATAATGTCAAATGACCCACCCCATGGTAATAAGCCATCCATTAGTGTGACAGTGTTCTCACACTTCTCCTGTGTCACTCTGCCATTGTGACAGAAGAATCTGGTACAACTCACCCTAGAAATTACTACCAAGATTGTGATTTTTAATTAACTAATTTGGCCGTATAAAAAAGGGGGGAAAGTTGCTAATAAAAGCTATTCCTATCCTCTGTCTGTGGAATGTTTATTACAGATATCTCATTTCATCCATGGGAAAATCTACACTTTTAATAATCAAGAATTAAATCCTAGTAAATTGATGCTGACAACCTTTTGCACTTTGTTAAAAAATGATCATATGCATAGATTGTCATATTTTTCACTGCTAGTTACTATTTTTCACTTCTATTCCCTCAGTTGATATTTATCTACTAATCTAGACAAGTAGCGACTAGTATCTTTAAAACACAAATGTCAAAGATGATTCAAATTTAAATATACATTTTTTCCTCAAGGGAAGTAAGAGCATCCAGAAACTTCAATAGTAGTTCTCCTCATTGTCACCAGGGGGTAGCAGTGCAGACTCCTTGTCATGTGCTCTTTTGCCATGCTGTCATGTAGCTGACTTCAATATCAGTCTCCTGCTAGTGAAGACACAGGCAAGGGGGGAAGGGGGAGCAAGTCAAAGTAAACACCTGCAAATCTGTGCTTAAATGTTTGTTATCTACTCCCACTGCCTCCTGCAGTCTTAGTGTTCACAGATAACACAGGTACAGTGCTACACTGAAGGTAGGAGGGCAATTAAGGTTGATGAAGGGTGTTCTCCCCCCCCCCTCCAATCTTTCTTCCCTACGCCAATGGCCCTATTACCAGAGGTAGAGGTAATCACAGCGGCTTTCACCTGTCTGTACACCACTGGGGTGATACAGACAGTCTGGCCCATAGGTCCTCCATTCACCAGATTCTGTTACAACCCTAAAGTTAGCAAACTAAGTAGCTTCTGGCCAAGGTAAGGAAATCCAACCTGGAGTCCCGCTGCCAAGGCGTCTGAAAGGTGCAGCGGAGGGGCGAAGGCTATCGCTCTGCCACAACTGACTGCTTCACCAAATCAGCATCAACACTCCCCAAGTGGAGTGCGTGGTTAACATACACCTCGCTACCTAGGGGAGATGGCGCTGTCCCCCCCTCCTCTATTAGGGCCCAATTAATAAATACCACTGTCCATGAACCACAACTAACCTGATTACCTGGGCTGAAATCCACCTAAATCATCCAATTCTAATCTGGTTTTTCTTCTAATTAATGCTGAGCTTTTATCGACGCATTCTGGGAAAGAGGAAGGGGCTTTTATTAGTTTGTCAGTAAAAAATACATCGACTAAATTCCTCAGACACTAATAAGAGAGAGATGCTGAGACACCGTGACTGCATTTTGCACACATTTCATTTAACAATCATTACTAATAAGATCACATAGGCAGTAAGTCCGGACAAGTATATGGTCGTTCTGTGTCTGCTACTCAAGGAAAATAATGATGTTTTGGGCAAAGTAGTAATATTACTCCATTTGATTTCCACTGAGGCCTAATTATGTTTCCACGCATCCGAGTCAAGAGAAAAACCAAAAACTGTTTTGTGTTGTATAGTGAAGTGACGCAGTACAGAATGATAAAGGACTCTTCATGATGTCATGACGCATACAAGAGGCATATAAAATACCTGCTTACAACGCACTCATACAAACACACATTTTTAAAAACTTGAAAACTTTTTTTAAAAGAGTGTTAGCAAGTACACTGAAAATTTCCCAGTCACATGTATAAACATGAACTTCTAGTTGGCACTGGTTTCATGTCCCAAGTCATCGGCAGCCTCCAGAGTGCGCCGGCAGTCATCATCATGCCACTTGTACCATTGTTACCAAGCATTGTGCTTTCCCATAATGTTCAGATGTTGCTATGAAAGATGAAAAGGCTCTCTCTCCCCATGTCATTTGGTGAGTGGTGAAGGCCTGAAAATCACTGCGTCGCGTACAATGCATTCATACAGCATAAACGTCAACTCCTTTCAGCGCATAATGCATAATTACAACCTCGCGTGCAAGGTAAGGTACGCTTCACTGACTTTCCTTTTGGCAAAAATCAAACATGAGCACCTTCTTCTTGTTGGCAGTTACAGACCATATCGTCTCTGTATTTTTCCACACAATACCTGCCTCTGGTAGGGACCCAAAGTTTAGTGGATTAGAGCTGCAGACTGAAGATGGGAGATAAATAGTGTCTGTACCCTAAACAAAACTGACTGGGTTAAAGTTGCAATTATTGGCCTGATCACGGGTGTCAGGTGTCTTACCGGTGCCTTTTGATCTTTGACTTCTCCATTCAGAGGTAATCATCCTTTGCTAAATTAGCCTACACAGGTAACTGTACGAGGAGACAGCGGAGACGACAAGACACCGCATCCTCTATGTGCTCTGGGCTATAATGACAGGGTCCTCCTTCCCAGCCCTTTGTGGGCGAGAGGACGCTGGGTCCCCGGACAAAGAGCCAATTGAGTGCAATGGGTGTAGTGAGCCATTGTGGCCGTCTTTGACAGGTGACAGAGACAATGCTAATGAGACAGCAGTCTTAACTGCTCTTTTACACACTTAACAAATGAATACCTGATTAACTACAGGTAAACAGATACGTAACGGGAGTCATTCAGCCTCCAGTTTGACATCAACTAAACATTTTTTTTTGAAAAAAAAAATAATATAATAAAATCCCCCCATGAAGCAGGTGAAGGAAAAACAGGGAAAACTTGACAATGGTAATGATATTGAGTTCAACCTGTTCTTTGACAAGATAAAATGTGGTCCTGATTACTTAAAGATAAAATAGATGTATGATGACATTTATTTCCATTTTCTCCATTGACCAAAAAAAAAAAAAAAAAAGACCAAGATAAAATAATCGTTATAACACAAAGTACCTGATGTGAAGGTAGCTTGGATAAAGTTAACGGTGTGTTATTGTCCTAACTGCTCTTTTATATATAAATCATGCTTCTATCGTGTGCAATTAAGTTAATAGATAAATGGGTTTGGAACCTTGGGTGCAAAAAGTAAATAAATGAATGAACAACAATGAAGCATTTAACAAGATCTGTCCACATTGGTCATGTATTATTGTTTTGAGCACAATACATAGCGATGTCATGACAAAAGGCAATTAACAAGCCGCTGCAGATGTGTGGGTATTAGGCTAATGGCCTCCATAAAAACCATTGTTTTTAGCACAAGGTGAGAACCATAAAATAGAGTTTGATTTTTCCACATGTCGGCCCAAACTTTTCCCATCTAAAAATGTGGGCAAAGAAAGGTCATTTGTGAAAAAGTGAACATTTATATGTATTTATAAATATAAATGGAAAATTTACAGATTAGCTGTGAAAAAATATTATCTGGTATTCTGAGAGTAGTAAATGGGAATAGCTGGTTGCTGAATGATTTGCAAGATCTAGACATTAATTTGCAATGCCACGGGATCTTCCGATCAATTTCATTAAAAAAATTCCGCCTGAAAAATTGCATTTACCCTTGCAATACTGTTTCTCAAAATCCCTTACCAATTTTGATAGTGTAATCTAACTATGTAATTTAGCGAGTTGTATGCTCTGTAGGCTTTGTAATTTATTTTTTCTTTTATGTGTCATGGAAATTTCTGATTAATCTTGGTCTTTCAAGAGAAAGGAGATGTACAAATTGCATGTTTCTATACAGCGGGCAGGGGGAGGTGGTCGGCCGTGTGTGGAGCACAGAGGGAAAAAGTCGGGAAAGTATTCCGATCAAATGTAGCCTTGTCAAGTTCAATCAGCGAAATAATGGATCACAAGAAGCGCTTTCCCCATGGTGTTTGTTTTAGTGAATTTATAAACAGCTCTGCCATTATATTCTAAAACAATGCCAGCCGGTAAAGCAAGCAGACATATCACGGGAGATGTGCAGAAGGTGTGAAAGAACTGTCACAAATCTTCACCATGTTAAAGAATTAAATTTGTAACTCAGGCTAAAAAATTCCAAGATTTATTCTGTCTTTTAGTAAACAATGAAAGGGTGGGGAAAAAGGAAAAAAAACTTGTCAGACGTGACTTTTTGATTTTGACCTAATGTGATATTAACCAGGTGAAATTTGTTTCCTTTGCTTATAGTTGATAGCGTTTCAACCATCAATACTGCCATTAGTATTTATTACAATTGTCAACTACCTAACAAAGGAGTCAAGTCGATAAATTTTCAACCATAACTCTAAACCTCCAGAAGTACTGTCAAAGCTGACAAAACAGGGCCTTAATTAACCAGTATATAATACACACAACAAGGCCCATCAATGTCACAGGCATTAGGAGGCTGCTGTCACAGGCATTGGGTCTAATCCAGCATCAGAGTAACAGATGATATAATATAAATCAACAAAATCTGTCCAAGCATTGCACATACTTGTCAGTTGCCCGTGTACCGCACATGCCGCACATCAAAGAAGAACTGTTGCCGATCTGATGGCTTGTCATACTGTACATCCCAAAACATTTAGTTGCATTGTCGGTCTTGACAAGGAGACAACATAGCTGACAGAGGCAACCAACCGCATGATGGAGAAAGACAGCAAAACTAAGGGCCAGACTTTTCTCTCTCCTTCCAACAAAGAGTAGCATGGAGATACACAAAATTAAGGGGATAGAAATGGACACCCCAGGAGCTAAACAGACCCCCTCATTGTAATTGCTTGATTGGTACTGCTTCCAAAAAAACAACCGACACAAACAGATGCAGGTTGTAATTTGTTTGTAGCCCATTTTACTGACCCATGTAAATTGAATGTCGGCAACTTTCATGGTTTCCCATGAAAAAGACTAATCTCAGCTGACTTGAAATGTTTGTTCATTAGAGACATTTTCTTGTTTCTCTACCTTTTTCTTTGATCCCTTATGTTTAGTCTTCTTAAATTGTAACTGAAAATAAATTTTCAGACTTACCAGTTATTTACTTGTAGTATTGTCAACCCAGTATCTTGAGCTAATTGTTTCTTCTGTTCTTCTGAGGGATATGGATGCTAAAACAAATTAAAATTTGAGTTACTTTTTTGGCTTAATGTCAAATTGCTACACAAAATCACAATTCAGTTTTTAGGCTTAACTGTTAAAATTTGGTAATCTGTACTCAATTTTCTCAGTACTGTTTTATTTATTTATTTTTTTTATGAATAAAATATTTGCTATGCTGAAAAAATGTTATACTGTTATAAAAAACTGGAAGTTCTTTCTAAAACAAATTTAATAAAAAAATTAATGACATTTAAAGAATTTAAACAATTATAAATGTGAAGATTTTATGTGGTTACACATATGAAATATTTTTCATTCCAGTTTTGATCTCTTGACTTAACTCTAATTTTTCTTCAAATGATTTTATTTCAATCATGCTCAAAATAAATTAAAATTTGAAACTTTTTAACAAATAGACTCATTTCAATTCAAACTTCCATTCCAATCTAGGCAGTCTAAAAATCTGACATTTCCAAACTGACACGGGACATTCTTCTTCCTCTCAAACAGCAACTCCTCCTTCAATTTTTAATATGATACATATTCACTCAGCAGGACTCCGTTTCATAAATTCCGATATTTTTGTACTGGGTGCTACTCATTTATTTTTCCGTAACAAGGATACAGCATGAAACCACACTAAACGTCTGCTTCAATTTTGGCTGAGTACTGCTGGGTGTGGGGACCTGTGGCGGCCATTGATTCAGAACTCTGTCACATACTGGGAACAGTAAGGGCGGCACCAGAGAGCATCACCAGTTTTTTTTTAATTTTTTATTTTTTGGTCTTTGGCGTTTTTTTGTTTTTTTTTCACTCAGAAAGACTGGCCTAAATGTGTAGTATTGAAGTAAAATCTGCACAAATAAAACACTGCTCCAGAACAAAAGAAGCATCATAAATTTTTGGGCTGCAAATTTTTATTCATCAGGATGACAAGTTTTGTTCATAATGACCTTTGTTGTTGGAGGTGAAAAAAAAATCAAGTAAAGGAGATAAAAGAGAAAATAATTTATTGCTGAAATGTTTTATTCTTTTTGCCAAATGACAGTATCCTTGGCATAAAAATATCTATATATTGTATCTACAACACGTGAGATGTGAGGTGTGTAAGGAGGGCCAGTTACTGAATCAACCTAGAGAGATCAGCAGGTATTGAAGTCCGTCATCCAGCTCTGGGTTTAATTTGACTCCAACCCAGATCACTTGGTAAATGTATTCAAACCTCGACCAGCGTGTGCCCCACACCACTGGGGAGATACAGCATTCAAACATCCGCTTCTCTCGGCTCTGCCATTATTTCTGAGATCGTTTGGCTTGTAAACGCAGTTGAATGCTGCTTCTCTAGGTGCGCGATCAAAGCCCCTGCATGGTCCAACCTGCTGCTTTAAAGGCCAGCCATATTGTGCTGGGATGGTATCAATTTAAATTCCTTAAATGTTTGTCCTCTGATTTTTTGAAGAAAATTGGCAGTACAACTTGGAACAATTTCCCCCTGTGCCGTTTAAGTCGACCACCCCGATATCAATAGGGTGCTTTATGACTTCTACTTTTGTTTGATATTTATAAATGGGTTTTCATTTCTTCTGTCTATTTCACTCCCTCCATCTTTTTCTGTTGCTCAAAATTTCCTCTCTGAACCTGTTTCTATCTCAAAGAATCCCTATAAATTTGCCAAAAAATAAACACTTCAAAAAAATCACCTGTTGTACTACCCTAAAGTATTTTGATCATAATCTATTGTTACACAGCCTAAGACTGCAACATTTTCAACATGGCATCAATTTCAGTCTCGCCTGACACCTCACAGAAGTTCTGAGTAAACAATGTCACCGCGTGTGTGTATATCTGGGTGACAGCGGAGATAGCAGTGCAACTAATGGCTCTCTGTATCCTAACACTTGGGCCGCTGTGTTTATAGTCTTGACTTAATTAGAATTGACTTCTGGTCAAATCTTGGCCACTTCACTCCTCTCAATTACGCTGGACTGGGCAAACAATGGATTATTAATGTCTGGGAAGAAGATGATGATGATGTATTGAAAGAATTGGAAGAGGCAAAACTTAAAAAGACCTATTATAGAAATTAAAGAGGAGATGAAGGTGTCTGGTGGTAAGACAAGTGAACTGGTGTGGCAGTCCTGCCTCTGTCCATTAAACTGTTACTCCACGTTTGTTTAGGTTGTGGATAATCAGTTGAACCCATATGGTGATAAGACCGCATGTCAATCAAGCAAACCTGAAACCTATGCTACCCAAAGTCCAATAAAATTGTTTATCTAAACTTTAAACAGATTTTTCAACTTGTCAGATGTTTTTTGTTTTTTCTCTCTCCATTTGGCACTATTTTCTACATGCAATTAAGAAGAAAACTGATCTATGGATATTAATTGTAGATTAATCACTATAAGAAAAAAAAAAAGAGTTGAAAACTGGAATCACTGCATTTTTTTCCACCTAAATTAATGTTTATTTACAGCCCTTCTCTTCACAAATTTTCAGTTTCCAAATTTAATACAAATCCAAATTGTTTCTTGCAAACCTGCAGCAAGTCACTGAACACACACAGTCCCTACTGTGTGAGTAAATGTGGCTAAGAGTGCACACGGCGCATGCACGCATGGACAGGTAAAAAAAGAGAGATGGACAGAGAAGTGGAAGAGACGGGCTTTATGGAGAGTCAAGGATTGATGTCAGTTTGTTCAATTGAAATCCTCTTTGAAATATTTGTACACAAATTACCTTCAGAAGTCAAAACTGTGTGTCTGTGTGTGCGTGTGCACGTGTGTGTGTGTGTGTGTGTGTGTGTGTGTGTGTGTGTGCCACAATGATTTTAGTACACACAATGGCCTAGTGTGACATAGTAGAATTCTAGAGAGACACCCAACCTGTAAACTACTAGCAACAAAGATGTTTCAGATTCTGCATAATGGTTGTCAGTGTAGAAAAGCATGAATTTCAAAATGTCAATGAGGCTTACAAAGGATTCCCAATCTAATAAATTGGAGATGAAAAATGGATGAATCGGCAGACTAGCAAGTGATTTGCAGAAAATGATATTTTGCCAGCTAGCATATTTATTGCTAAATTGCATTTGCATGTAGAAAGGTTGCAGACATTAAATTTCAGTGTGAAAGACAATGAATGTTAAAAGCAAGCAATTTCTCTCAACAACTTGCACATTTGTTGTCCATCCTTCATTAACCGTAGCTTGAAATTACTTTGCTCGCTAAAGTAAAACTTTATGTTCCAATTCAAAGGAAAATGGCTCTAATTTCTGTGTGTTCTTTGTTTTTCCGTAGTTTCCCCACAAAACTCACAGGGTCTCTGATTACTTTGGAGAAAATTGGTGTATTTTTTTGTGCAATAAAATCTTTCCTGTCTTGGTCTTGATGACTTCTCATCAGACTGCGCTCAGATTATTATTGCAAATAATGGGTTCTGGCAGAATGAACAGTAAAACACAAAACTCGTAGCACTGCAGAAAACAGCATTTTTCTATTAGCCCTATCCATAATGGCTTTCACATAGCTTGCACATTCATCTCTTTTTCTCCTCTAGCTAATACGTTTTTGGACTAAGTGAGGGTCTGATTGAATTAGACTTTTGGTGCTAGTAAGGAAGATCCAACTGCACAGTGCATCTTACACCTGAGATATTTTTAAAACTGCGCTGGCTGATCAACATAATCAGCTTTTCTCTCTACTAGCAGCCCAACCTCCAATCCGCGCTTAAGTCAATACATCACATAGGCTGTCTTTACTCGCTAATCCTCCAGCGCTGATAAAATATCCAAGGGACTTGTGTACTTTGTAACGGATCAGGACTAGTTGAGTCACTAAACAAATCCTGCTTGGTCAGGCCAGGTCAGGAGTCGTCGCCATTTCTACACACGGTGCAACGACGTGCTCACGTACACACATACCTCACCCCCCAAAAGCTCCCCAGCTTCCTAAGCTGGTTATTGCCACCTTTATCACACACACATGCACGCACGTACCCACCGCGAGGTTCACTCTCTCTACAGAAATGTTGCAGATTTCTATTGGAGTTCAGACCGGGCAACCAATTAGCTTGCAGACGCGACCGATCTAATTAGGAAATACAGGAAAGGCTGGAGAGGATAAATATTTTTCTTCAGCTAATCAGCATCTTTCCCTCCACTTACTTTGAAAAGCAGTTGCTAATTATCAAGAGTAATCTCTGAAATAAATAAACTTGGCATCCACCTCAAGGTTAATCTATAACCTGCTAATTCTTGCTACCATAAATACAGCAAAGAAGAAGGCCAATAATCTATAAACCACACTAACCGTTTCCTCTTTAAACTGTTCAATCATAGTTTAATTAAAACAAGTCAAAAAGACACTACTCCAGACAAAATAAACGCCAGTCATAAATTCTGAAAGCTATTTCAAGGTACCAAAAAGTTCTCCTCCTTTCAGAAGCAATTACAACACTTTTTAGCTACTACTCTTTGGACTTTTTTTCTATTTGTTAATGATCTTCATCCTCTTGGTCAAATCCCACAATTTTAGTTCTAAAATCACTCGTATTTTTTGCTTATAATTAAAATCTTAATACCCATAACTTAAAAAAAAATATTGTTTTAAAGTCCCACCATCAGATGTACAAAGAAATAAATGAGTTCCCATCAAGGACAAAAAAGATGACACCAGATATATGGCGGAAAGCCGGGGCTGGAGACGAGATGGGAGAGGGTGAAGAGGAGAATGTTCAAATGGTTCTTACACCAGGCACAGACAGGGACTAGTGACAGGCTGATGTCGGAGAGGGAGCTTTTTTCCTAAATCAAATAATGACAACATGCTCCATTTGACCAAGGTTCAAGAAGAAAAGTGTGCCTTGGTGCACTGGGAAGAAGTTGTCAAGTATCATTTGTTAAAAGTAATATTCCCTTTTTAACAGTTAAGTGACTCTCACCCTTGGGGACCAGTGTCTGCAGAGAAAACCAATTCATTTTCATCATACTGACCACTTTTCAGATAGTTCAAACTCAGAGTCATCTAATTTTTGACCAACAATCACACTAATGAACCAATAAATTCAATGCAGCTATTTTTAAGGATATGTTGTTTTGTCTTATCTTATTTCCCTATCATTTTCTATCACATTCAGTGGAAAATGTTGTTTCTGTACATTTAGAATGGAAAGAAACACTAGAAGATGACTCTGTGTCTGTTTGCTCTTAGGATGAGTGATCTTTTAAACAGCTTCATTTGTTGTTTAGAAACAAGTTGTTAAGAAACATTTCACACCATCTACATTTTATAATTTAATCTTTGGAAAGGATGCCTGCACAATAAAAACATTTGATCAGGTCAAAATTAAAACTAATGAGTGATTGGTTTCTGCTATTAAAATTGTGCATCACATTATGGCTCAGTAACACTATTTATTTATTTATTTGCACCAGGTGGTGGCAAAATGTTACATACCTTCAACTTGGCCCAATTATAAAATATTTGGGCAATATTTATATTAATCTTATCAATCTGTGTTGAGGGCACAGTAAGCTCCCGCTGTTGTTGATGTTGATGGTGGAGCGTTGTTGATAGGATTTAAGTTGGGCCACCACTGGGGGGAATAGTGGTGTTAATCAGAGATAAATTAATCCGGGATAATCCTCTGAATTGGCTACTTTAACTCATGATATCCCTGCTTGAAACAATCTGCACAGGGAAATTCAATCAGGTAGAGTGAGGGTTCTTCTGAAGGTGTGATATTCATCATTTAATTAATCAAACCCATGGATTTGTAAATATCTCATTTAGATGTGATAATTGCATCACTGGGTATTTGGTACTCACTGTTAAATGCTGAAATAGCCATGCTCTCATGATGTTGGTAGCTACTTTTGGGAAAATGCCTCTTTTCTTCTGTCTTTTTGTCTGCCGATCGTCTCCATCTTCATCTGCTGTTCCTTCACCAGAGCCCACACTGTTGTCTAGGCAGTCACCTGGGGAGGAAAAAAATGCACACATTTCTAACAATCTCTCACTGTGAATAGGAGGGTATCTAAAATTGTACATCAAAGGAAATTTAGCATATCAAAGAAAACAATAGTTTTGTAAATCAAAAACACATTTGGATCAACTATTGGAATTTTTCCATGGCAAGAAGGAATATTAGTTACAGTTTATCAGACAATGACAAGGACAAAAATAATGAAAAAAAGTCACTAAATTGCCGTGTGTGACACAACCTGTAAAATTATTTTTCTTAATCCCAATAAAAATTTCTGCTTTTAAACACTAATGATTGGCAATAATGAACCAGAGTAAAAAAATTAGCCTAAATATAACTGCTCTAAAACGTAACAGAAAAACCAAACACTAATAAGAAACATGCGTACTAATATCACTAATATCATGTTATGCTATAAGCTTTAAAACTTGTTTCATGACGTAACAACATTCTCTTCCCTCACATCAAAGGACTGCCATATTTTCATTTCTTTTCATGTTCCTTGCATGATGGGGAGAAATTTACGCTCTGCTTACTTTAGATGCAAGAATTTCAGATTTTTTTCGTGCCAAGCAGAGATAACTGTACCCACTACAACAAGATTGTCTGGCCCTTGACCTCCCGACCTTTGACCTCATTTATTAATGTTCCATGTCCACCACATAAAGCATAAAACAGATATACACAACACTAGAAAACCAGGCAAGCTTTATCATAAAAGATATATTGCCCCATACCATGTCCCATTTCAATATCAAGACCCAATTCCCAATTCTTTACACAAACCCACTTGAGCTTCAGTTTTAAGTCCTTTTTTATGTCCTTTTGACTCCAATGTCATAATCTAATGCCCTAATTTGTCAAACCTGATTGGTGCTTTTATCAAAAATAGTTTAAACAAGAGCAGTAATAAAAATGTCACTGAAGCCAGAAATTATGATCTGATAAAATCTGTAGGCACAAGACTTGGGCTGATAGGACACATGAAAACACAGTAAAACTCTGGGTCCTTGCTCAAATCCCCCCAAAGATGTACTGTAAAGGCAAACCAAGGCTGTCTTTTATGTGATGTTTTCTTAATTTTCAAAAGATGTACTACAAATGTAAACCAAACTTCTTATGACGCATATCAAAGAAGATTGTTCAGTTTCTTTTTTTTTCTGTTCTTTTTTTCTCCCTAATCGACAAGAAGCCTGATCACAAAAACAGAATGTGAGGGGAATCCCCAGTTATGAAGCAGAAAACAACAAAATGCTCAACTTCTTTTCCCATCCTCAGTCCTATCATGTCACCATGCAAATGTACTCTGATCGGATCTGTCTTTGATCTGACTTGACAATGCTATTAGATTTAACAATGCTGCCATGAATGCCAAGCAAACAAAAATAATGTTCCTCTGCTGCTGCTACTCCAAGAAGTACCTTAACTCCAAGCCAACACCATAACCTGTCTAATACACAGGCTTTTCATGACTTATCAAACTAGCAGTGTGAGCAAATAGAATTATATTAATGTCCACAAATACTATGTGTCCAATCAGCCATGTAAAGTCACGATAGCATCAGATGACAAGACACCTTACTAGTGACAAATTTGACAGCCTGCTGAAGATAGCGATGGTTATCTTCATTCCCAACAATCATTAACCGCTCAAATCAAATTCGCTGGTCAAGTGAAGAAGCTAAGTGATTTCTCTATTTGCTGTGATTTCTATAGCATCTTGTGAATAAATACCAAGAAAAAAAACTTATTATTTTCAAGAATGATTTTTTAACCTCCCAGTTTATATTTTCAAACACATTGCAATAATATGAACGTCTTAGTTTGTTATAATCAAATGGAAATATTTTAAGATAATTCTTTTAGAGTAAAAAATACAACTAAATATACACATTTAATGATGGTTTAAGAGGAATCATTTAAAATCTTTGAAATTCTCCTTAAAAATGTAATTCCTTAAATGATTATCATAACCATATTACACATATTGTATAAAAATAATCTTCATCTTTTTAACATAAAACAGAGTAAAAAATTGAAATTATTCCTACTACTTCTTGTTGACCTGCATACATCTTTTAAGGTAATAACTTATATATATCTGACTATAATGACTGCTGCAGGATTTTTTAACTCATTAGTTTATTCTCAATATTATTTTTTATTTTGATAATTAAAAAGGTGATGAGAGTTCCGAGGTTTTCCTGCTGCAAGTGAAGTACCCATTTCTGTACCTCTATCCAGCCCCAACTGCCTCATCCTTCCTTTACTCACGTTATTATTCGTCCAAAAAATGTCAAGAAAATGTCAAATTAATACTGTGTAATACAACAAGATAAATGTGTCTCCAGTCAAAGTTCTGACATAGAAATTTTAGGGTGTTACAAACAGGGCAGTCAACCTGTCACTGGATGCCATAGTCCCGGTGACAACTGATGTCATATGATTTGTGAGGTGGAGTACAACCAACTCATCGATTTGCAATATAAACATACAAACATATGGCATTTGCATAATACCGCCAAACAATCCACCCTCTGCTATATTCAAGCTGACAAGGACAACAACAACAAAATTTATAGCAACTTTATTCAGAGTTAAAGGAGTTCAACTAAATTAATGAAACTCAAAACTTGTTGAAGTCACTAATGTTTCCTGATCATTTTTCATTCTCATTTTTTCAGCTCGGCTTTTTTTTTCTGCTCAGTTGTTACAATGTTGCTTTGACCCGTGGAAGGCATACTAATCTACCTTCTCTGCCAACACGGGGTCACACAGAAAAAGACTGGGAACCAAATAATTCTGTCACACTTCAAACCATGGAAAAAAATATCCCAATACCTAATTTTTGTGTGCTGAGTGTTGTTGAGATAGTTAACTATCAGGTACAGATAAGGAAGATAAAGACTGCAAACTGCCTTAGAATAACAGCTTCAGTGGAATTTAAGGCATTTTGTTTTGGACAAGAAACTTAAGATGGCTCTATGTCTATGGTTACACTTATTAGGTCAAGACATGATAAACTGGGGAATTGGATAGGATTTCTTTGATGCAATAATATAATTCTTTTCATAAGAAAAGAATTAATTTTTTTGCTATGAACAGGTGCAAATATTGCTGTGTATTCCACAGGCTGATGGTGGTCAGTATGAAATAATTTATGCTAATCTTACTTTTTTCACAGCATTTCATTCATCTATCTAACTCATATCAAAAATTCAAAAATAAAAAGGTATAATAAATAGGGACAGCATATACAAATAAGAGAACAATAGGCATGAATGTTAATCCTCTAGTTCATTCAGTGCTGGGAGACATAAAATAAAATATTTAAAAGTAATGAAATATCCAATGCTAATTTCAGAATGTCACCCGACAGGATAGGGGTTGTCATGGCATCCGTCCTTAGTGAGATGACATTCGGACAGAAATCTGCACTGGCTTCAGTACATTGCTACATGCTGCTGCATTTCATAAGAAAGAACAGGGGAATATTTGGATTAAACACTTCATCATTTTCTTTCTCTTCAAGTAAAAGTTTCATATTTCATATATCATATATATAATTTCTTTATTTAATTATCTTCATTATTTCTTTCATATTTTTCTATTTTAAAGAAAAAATCTTACACTGATTATAAAAATTGTTCAAAGCAAAAGCAACCTCTCCAACTTTTTTCTCTTTCCTTGACAAACAAACATTATACTAATAAAGAATAATAATTCCAAGTCACCATCGGATACATAATTTCCTGACTTTCAAAAAAAGTTTTGTCTTGATAATCTTATATTTCAGTATATTTTTAACTTTTATAATCATAAAGTGGAATATAAGTGGAGGTAAGAGCAGTCAGAGAGTTGTCAACATGACAACTGGTCTTTCTTAGATAACATTATTCATATCAAATATCATACTTTCAAGTTTGAATACCAAATATTTTTCTTCAGTTATACATATTTTAAAGAATGATAACTTATTTAAATTCAAAACAAGCAAATCTACTAAAGACATTGATAGCTGTCAGCCTATCATGTATTTTATGAATATTTCAAATGTTCGTGAAGGAACATCTGTAGCATAATGCCATTATTAAGTAATTATTCAAAAGATGATGGGGCCATGTCTTTCATGCTATTTCCATGTTTTTTGCCATGCAATTGTATGCTGTCAATGCAAATGAATTATTCGCCAGCACTACTCAACTGTTTTTCCTGCTGGCTCAACATTTGGTATCATGGCTTACAAAACGGCATAACGGGCGGCGTATGGCCATTAAGATCTGACCCTCCGGTGGCTTCAAAGTGCCCCACTTACCCCATACCCAGGGAGGCAATAGAGGAGAGACTCGCGGAACATTTGGAAAACGCTGAAAAACAAGTCCAAATTGCCTACTTTTTGACCCGTTATCCCCACTTAATGTCAAGAACAGGAACTTTGCGGTGGTGGACTATTTTTGGTCAATGTCTGTGTGTATATGTGCGTTTGCAAGTTGGTTAGCGAGGAGGAAAAATCCCCAACCTGTTTAGCAAAAGTCTTTGAGCCAAGTACTAACTGCTATTTTTTTTTTTTACAATAAAAAAACAAAAGAAAAATTTCATATTTTTGAAACGTGAAAAAATTATAATAAAATAAGTAATAATAAACAGAAAGAAATCATCAATATGGATTTTTTATAATAATGTGCAAAATGATTCAAGATGATATATATAACAGATCAACACAAGCATACCAAAGGCATAAAATAATAAACTGTAACAAAAAAAAAGTTCTATTTTACTATCTTTATCAATCAAAACAATAGTATCCTCAAAGTCAGTTGTAGTAAATAAATATGCAGAATCACCAGTTGCCTGATAAATAAATTTGCATTTCACCTCTAACACCCAACAAGTATGCAAAATGACAGCTCGGAGTGTAAACTAAGCTATGGCACTATGGCTAAACCGGCCTATCATTCTTCATCAGAAGAAAATTATTGCTCCATTTCGACT